AGAGGTTTGTATTGGCTTCTAGAAGCCGATCGCCCCCCTCCTGAAGCAGGATTTCTTCTGTATCAATCACGAATCGGGATTTCTTCTGTATCAATGCAGAGGCCGATCGCCCCCCTCCTGAACCACCACCGATCCAGGAAGATGGAATTGAATGGATTGCTTTTCTTTTCGGTGACTGGTGAAATCGGAACAATTTTTGCACTCGGCTCCTTATCGGTGGGTGGAAAAGCCGGTAAGTTCAATAATTCCTTTCCGATGGCTAGTCAAATCGGGAATGACAACTTTGGAGGTGGTAGATTAAACCTCTTCTCCCTTGCTGGTGGCTGGTAAAACTAGGATTTGTGATTTTTTATTTCTTTTGAGTTTATGAAGTCCAATTTTTAGCTCTTTGTCTTAGTAGCAAGTACAACGATGCTATTAGAATAGCCTGTCATTGTGCGGAGTTAGTGATCTGTTCTAGCCTTCCGGGGATAGTCAGTTTTATATCTCACTCCAGGGTTGCTCTGAGCTATTGCTCTGTTTTGTCTATGTTTACTTTTATTATTATTAAGAAATGAGTGATTTCTTTCAATCAAATACCAATTTTCAATTTAGTTCGGTTCAGTTGAATCAAACTCTTTTGCCCACACATAAGGAATAGAAGAAGATATGCGAAGTAAGAGTTTTTGTCATTTTCGTTCCCTCAACTATCGTGTTCGTGACAATTTTGGTATTCTACTTTCAAATTGTTCATGTTTACTTCTCAATTATTTTGTAATTCACACTTGTCCCTGAGTTCAAAATTCCCTGCATTTAGTCCCATGAACATCATCAAATTGAAACTTTTAATTCTTTCACTCTGATTTTGACATAATAAGTGAAGGAATAAAAATGTCACTATTATAGTGCTTGATAACCAAAAATGTCCCTTTTATTAAAGTCGAAGAGTTAATGTGGGAAATTTCAAAGACGAGTACCAAAGAGCGTTTTTCCCACAATAGTGAAAGGATTAAAAATGAAAAAACTCACAATCATCGATTACCAAAAGTGTCAAGTGCCAAAAGCTTTGCCAAGTAAGAAGGAATTAAAATTTTCGATTAGGGATGTTTGCACTTTTTTGAAGTCTAATTTATTTAATTGTGATTTACAAACACTTATCCCTTATTAAATTAAGTTTGATGTGATTTAATTTATTATGATTTTAAAATATGCTTGGTACATATATTTTTGCATTACAACCTTATTAAAAAAAATTGAAGTGATTTGATATGTGTAAATTTGTTCTTTTCTAGTCCAACGTGCATATGCCCACATAAATCTTATGTGGAGTATATTCTGCTCTCAAAAAAATAGAAATAAATTATAAAAAGAAAAGATAATAAAATTTTATTTAAGAAACCCTATATTAATTAATCTCCGTCTGGCAGGGAGTGTTAGAAAACAGAGAGACTCCGGGGAAAAGCGCCGAGAAAGATTTGGATGGCAATGGGTTCTCACAGATCGAAGCCGCCGCTGCACAATTTTACGCTGCCCTGTGGTTTGAAGTGGGGCAACCGTAAGTTTCCCAACGGCAAAACCGACGCCGTTCACCGGAGATCGAATGGAACGTCGCCGGAGAAGTCGCTCGGCGGACGAAGGCCCGAGGCTGTTTTGGGGTGGCAGAATCGCGGATCCGATGAGCGGATTCTGAGCATGGACGTTTTCAAGAATGGGCGGACAGAGCGCGGCTGGGAATTCCGGGCGGAAGTCGAAGACGGGATCGCCGCCGTGAGGGAGAAACTGTTGCTCGATCTCCAGGCGGCGGCGGATAAGATGAAGGAGGCAATCTTGGGAGCGGGGCTGAAGGACGGAGAGCGGCCGCTTGTGGCGGAGGGTGAGGAACGACCGCCGGTAGCGACGACGGGGTCGGAGACTATTACGTCAGTGGGTCCATCGGAAACGGCCAGACCATGGAACTTGCGGACTCGACGGTCGGGAAATAAGCATCTTAACGTAGCCGTCGCCATCTCCGGCGAATCGAACTCCGGTTTGAAAGTTGATGTTGCGTCGCCGGCAACGCCTTATGGTTCGCCACTTAAGAACAGAAACGAATCTCTCAGAGTCATGAGGTCTAGACCTTCCGTCGACCCAACCGCCGCCGACCACTCAACGGCTGCGGCCGCCGACCAATCCCCGGCAACCGCCTTCGACCACCTCACGGTCTCCTCCGGCGGAGCTTCTTCCGTCGCGTTGAAGCGGGAGAGAGCGAAGTTTTCCGTTTCTCTTACCCGGCGAGAGATCGAGGAAGATTTGGTTGCCATAATAGGTCGGAAACCCAACCGCCGGCCCAAGAAACGAGCTAAACATGTTCAGAAAAATCTGGATGTAAGTCCCTTTTCTTCGACTTTTACATTACTCAATCTTTGAATTGAGATTTTTGCCCAGTGAAATTCAATCTTATTTTTTTTCCCAAATGGATTAAAATTGCAGAGCCTATTTCCTGGATTGTGGTTAACAGAAATCAATGCTGATATGTACAAAGTTCCTGGTGATTAGTAGAAATAAAGGGTCACTTCTGTAATTTCTTATAGCCATTTGTTCGTTTTGATCTTGATGAAGTTTGATTTTCCTGCAAATTGGAAACTTGAATAGATGAACATTGAGGTTTGTCTACTTGCAGAGTTGCAGGGCTCACATGTGCAAATCCCAATTTTTAATCTCTCCCTAAGTCATTGTTGTTAGCTTGAAGATAATTGTTTAGATCATAATGCAAATAAAGATGTGATATTTACCAACTATGGCTTGGTGCTGTACCATTAATCTTGTGACTTGTGATGAAGTTGTATCCATTATACCGTATTGATCTTTCTTAATGGTACGGAAACTAAAGACTTTGTGTTGGTGTGTTCACTGTTCAGGCAAATATAACTGCGCTAAACTTGGGCTGTAATTTGCTGATTTGGACTGGTCTAGTTTGATCTGGTTTGAACTTGTCTCGTCTGATAATGTTTGGTTTCTTTGTTTTTTTATAACTATCCAAGTCTGGTCTGGTATGTGACAGATTACAGTCCAAGTAATAACATCCTAAACATAATTGCATAAATAGAAGTAAAGTTTAAATCTTTTATTTTGGCAAAATGAGAACTTATTTATTAATAATAAAAGTAACGAAAGATAAAGAATTGCAATAGCTCAGGACTACATTGGGACGAGACAAAGAATTCGATGTCCTATAAAGACTAAACAAATTTGCTAATCCCGCAATTACGTAGAAAAATTTAACAGCACTGCTAAACTTGCTACTCAAAAGATAATTATAAGAAAATAAATTGTTCAAAATAGAAAGGAAACAAATTAAATCAACAACCTCTGCTTCACCAGCCACCAAAAAGGGGGGATTGGGTTTGACCAGCAACCAACAAAGGAAACTCAGTCGAACAGAAACTTTTTAAATCATCGGTTTGACCGGTCACCAAAAAGGAGATTCAATTGAGTATTTTCTTCTTCCCATAGTAGGGCGGTGGTCAGGGGAGGATCTATGCACGGGCTATGGTAGGCTGAAACCTAGAGCAACTTAGAAAATTTTCAATTTTTTAGTGTAATTTTTTCCATTTTTCGCGGTTAGCCCACCCCTATAATATTTAAACCTAGTATAATTTCTATTCATTCTAGGGCGTCTCAAATCCCTGGATTCGCCCCTGGCGGTGGTTAAAGTGGAGAACGAATAATTGAAGCCTCAGAATAGAAAGGTTGAAAAAACTTTGCCAACCAAGAACAACAACTATTCCCCAAATCGATTACACCGATGAGGAATACACAACCTCTAGACATTGCTATGAGAATAGTACACCACACGCTCACATGAAGTGGATAAAACTCTCGGCCAACGAGAAAGCCGGACCAAAATCCTCGAAAGTTAATATTAAAAAAGAGCAGAAGCATTGAAAAACCTTTGATTCGGTGTTTAACTATCTAAAAAATATCACCATCTTTCACGACTCTTGCTGATTGGAGAAGAGAAGCCTAAAAGGTCGTATTCTGGAGAAGATCGGAGATGGCCGCCTAAGGTTTACCCTAGGACCAACTCTTCTTATGTGTCGAAACTCTCAGCCTGTAAAGCTTAAATCTTTAATAAACATGATCTATTAAATACCCCTAATTTGATTAATTAATTTCCCTCCCATAATTCTCTTGCATAATCGGGGCAGTCTGTTGGAGGCAGGACAGTCCAGTGATGGCGGGGTGGTTCGATGGCGGTGAAGGTGACTAATGGCGGGGAGCTCCGACGAGGTGCAATGGCTCAAATTGGCGCCATATCTATTTCATAAATTTCCAACGAACTCTGATGGTCGATGGTCGCGCCATGTGGTGGAATTTCAGAGGGGTCAGATGGTCGGAGCCCAGTGGCGGTGGCCAGAGGTAGTGGCTGGACAGAGAATTCATTCAAACATACATGATTAGTCCTATTTAGAGAATTTAAAACAATGTAATCCTATTTGTGAATGAAATAATTTGAAATATATAACCAAAATATAAGTAATGAACAAAAATGTGACATTGATAACTTAAGTGACTATGATTGTATTCAAATGTTACATCGTGGTAACTATAAAACTTAGACATAGTAGCTTATCGTCATTTTTTTGTCCATATGTCCATATGTCCATATGCGGCCCCCCTGAAGTAATCAGGGCTGAAACTCATTCCATTGAGTTTCCAACCCTTGTGTGGATACTGAGATTCGAACACGAGACCTCCAACTAAGTACAGTAACCTCACAACCAGCTGAGCTAGAATGCTTGGTTAGTGTAAAATAATACGTAGTATATTTTATGGTAAAATTTACTTCAGGAATAAATTTATTTCCTTAATACAATGACTGTAATTAAAGAAGTGATGGAGTATTAAAAGTGGTAAGGAATAAAAAAGTAATCCCTTCATCCTGCTAAGATCTCTTCCAGGTTTCCTTTTTTAGTCATCTCAAAATGATCTTTCATTTCTCTAAATGGAAAGTTATCATACATCAAAACAGTGTCAAACAGTGCAAACAATGTCAAACAGTGTCGAAACAATGTACTTTATAGAAAAGTCAAATTTATTTCCTAAATATATGCGTAGGTCAAAATAGGAACTTCCTGGCGGGAGGGCGTATAAGATGAATAGAGTATACAAATTCCATTCACAAGAAATAGTGGGTCAAAAACAACACAACTTTAGTAATGAACAGAGAGATCTGTTTAACCAAATCATACGCTACGTCACAACTCGACCGCCTCGCCGTCGGTATTGCCGGAAACAGAGAGACTTTAGAGGACGGTCGAAAACAAGAACGAGGAGAGGTATTGGGAGGTGCCGATGGCGATGGGTTCCCAAAGATCGAGGCCGCCGCTATAGATTTCACGTTTCCCTTTTGTTTAAACTGGGGAAACCGGAAGCTCTTGCGGTGGGGTAAGCCTGATTCTGTTGGAGCGTCTCCGATCGAATCAGGTGAATCCAGGGGTGGACGTAGTCAAGAATGGGACGACCGCCGACGGGTGGTGGCCGGGAATTCCGGGCCACCGTAGAAGACGGAATCGCCCCAATGAGGAAGAAACTGATGTAGTGGTGTTTGATATGCAAGCGGAGACGAAGAAATTGAAGTCGAGGAAGGTTCGCGTGGTAGACCGGTAGAGACGGACACCGGCGGCTCCGGCGTCTCCGGCGGCTGCCTCAAACACAAATGCGCCAGTGAGTCCTTCTGAAACCGCCGGGCTGGGGAGTAAGCAACGGAGAAGATTCACTGCCACCGTCGCTTCCTGTGAAACCGATGCCGGAGATCTTGCCGGAGTAGAGAATCGTGAGAGAGAAAAGTTCTCCATTGCCCGAGAAGATTTCGGTTGTTCCTTAAATTACGTTTAGATCCAATTTCTTCAATATATTACCCAGCGGTACTCCTACTTTTAGAAATAACACATCAAACTGAACACTAATACGGAGCAGTTAATTACCGGGGCGTGTTCAAATATCAATTGTACTTGCTAGTAACAATATTCTAAAATTGCAATTTTTCATAGTGAAAATTAATCCTAATATTTTTGTTTTTAAGTACAAAGTTCCTGATGATCAGTACAAAGAAAGGAGTTATGTGGTGATGAAATTTGTTCAATCTACCTTAGCTCCCACAAAACGGAGAAAATCTAATTTGTTTAGTCACCTGTGGACTTAGAAAGAAGTTGCATATTGTATGTTTATTAAAATGGCTAAACGGTCAAATAGGTACATGAACTAACTTAAAGTGTTCAATTAGCCCCTTATATAGGAGGTTATGTCCGGCCGTCGCCAATTGGGGCGGTTCCCAGTTGAATTTTTTGATGATTTTTTTTTAGCATCGTCTTCATTAAGTCTAGTTTACTTTTATCAAATTTCAACTAAAAATTAAATCGGGAAGGCAGCCAAATGATTTTCCGAAATGTACTGCGCTGTGTAACTGCGCAGTTATCTTCAAAAAATCATTTGACTGCCTTCCCGGTTGAATTTTTAGCTGAAATTTGGTATGGGTAAACTAGACTTAATGAAGAAGATTCTAAAAAAATTCATCAAAAAATTCTACCAGGAACCGCCCCAATTGGCGACGGCCGGGCAGAACCTCCTAAATAAGGAGCTAATTGAACACTTTAAGTTAGTTCATGTACCTATTTGACCATTTAGCCTTATTAAAATTGACCAACTTATGTTAAAATGATTTCCTTCTCTTTTATGTTCATGCGTATAGGTTCATATTGTTAACTCCAAAACAATGCTTAATTGAATTATTTCAATACCTCTTGTGTTTATGGACTATTCTCAATTTAACATACTCCGTATGTCTTGTGTACAAAAAAAATACTTCGGAAAAAGACTTTCGTACATAAGTACTACGTATAATCACAACCATGTTTGTATACAATGTCAACTATTGCATTAAAATTGTCACGTTAAATTAATACGTAGTACTAAATATCACAATATTATTTAAGAAATGATTTAATTTACTCTTATTTAGAGAGAAATATAGATTTCCTTAATTATTTACTTCCTGATTGGGAATATTTTCCATCACAAAGTAACTTCAGATTTGTCTTTTTATATACTTCGTATTAATGTTCTATTTCTACACTTTTTTGATGTACATCTATTGTACAACCTCCCTGTTTTTTATCGATATACGTAGGAACGCTACTCATTTAAAAACACAAATCATTTGTAAATACAACTAAAGTAAATTGTACAACAAAAAGGTGTACGTGGAACGCGACTATTATTGCCTTATCTATATGCTATTGGAACTATTTTGCACGCATAGTTACATTTATAGTTCCAAAAGGTTGAATCGCCAACCCCAAGCGCCCCCCACGCCCCGACCCGACAGAGCACATGGGAGGATGTAAGTCACGGTGACTCAGTCAGCAGAGTGGCAGTAGGCCTTTACCCCGTGCGCACCAGAGGCCCAGCCTTATTTCAGGTTCTGTGACCTCCACCCGGTCGCTGCGGGGATTCGAACCTTGGTCATAGTTCCAATTTTCCCACCACTCGACCAGCTGAGCTACCCGTGCGGGTGCATAGTTACATTTATATAATTAGCTAGAGGTGTGTGAGACCCCAGAATTGATTCTTAGAGGCTGGAGTTAAATGCACTTTAGGTATGGGTAATTCGGTTTATAATTCAATATTTATGCAATTCGGTTCCATTTTGATTTATTCAGCTTCAGAGATATTGTACCATACACTACCAAAAAAACTCGTTATAGATACGGATTTTGGCACGGAAAAAATCCGAGACAATTTTGGCGCGGATTTGGGAACGGAATGCTGGAAAAGTCGATTTATTACGACAATGGCACGGAATTATCCGTGCCAATATGTTTGGCTCGGAATTTGCGACCCTACATCCGTGACAAGACCGAAAAAATTGTCACGTAGTTGGCCTGTGTTAATATACGTGCCAAATGCCGTGACAATATGGCAGGGAAGAGTATCCGTCCCAAGGACAGACGTTTTTTTTTTTTAAATTGGCCCGGCATATATCCGTCCCAAGCTTTTCCGTGCCAAACGCCGAGACAACCCCGTATCATATTTAGTTGTTCTAATGTCCGTCCCTAGTTCCGTGCCAAATTCTAGCCGTTACGTTGGCTGGCTGTTATCCGTCCCAAACGTAGTGCCAAAATGTAACCGTTAGTTTGACCGGAATTTGGCCGTCCCAAAAACCGTCGCCTTGAGCAGATTTCATAGAAACTTAGTGTCGTGCCAAAATCCGAGACAATGAGGACCGTTCTGCACATTTTGGCTGGGATATTTCCGTCCCAATTTCTGTGCCTACTAAATCTACAAATATACCAAGTTGGGATGTGAAGCAAACTACATCTCAGAAAATGATGTCTTTGATCTTTGTGTATGATGAATTCTGGATAGAAGTTGGAAGTTATATTACTTGATATCTGGAGGTTTTCTATTTGGATTTCTTACTTTATATTACTTGGTATCATCGTTGTACTTAAGGTATGTAAATTTCGACCATTGTGCTTTTAAATTAATTTGATCATATCCATATTACGAGTTGTTATCAGTATTATTTAATTTGTCTTAATTATTTTGATTGAATTCAAGTGTTAGCTTTAAAACGTGAGACATTAGCTTATAAATTTAATAAATTAATTTCGTTAAGATATACTGTCAAAAAAAGTTCATTAAGATATTTTTTAATATTCAGGCACAATGAATAGACAAACTAGAAGTTGGATGTATGACCGCTACAAGGAAAATGGTAGAGGATTGAAAAAAGTGTTTGAAAATGGAGTTAACGAATTTATTAGATTTGCACAAGGGCAAACACGCTATGCTGATGGAAGTAAAATAAGATGTCCTTGTACAGAGTGTAAAAATAACAAATTTGTTGAAGGTGGTGAGGTTTGTTGGCATTTATATACGCATGGTTTTGTTGAAAACTATTACAACTGGACTGCTCAAGGAGAACCAATTGAGCCAGAGTTGTTGCCGCAAAACGTAGGAATGTCGAGGTATGTTCCCGATGAGATGGCTAATTGGGGAAATTATGAAGAAATGGTATGGGAGCAAAAAATGCTTTATGATTTGACTGGTCCTTCTACGTTTCCAAATATCCACACGGATAGTGATTTCAACGCACACAATAATGTGAACGAAGGACCAAGCTCATCATATTATGATGTGGATGTGTTAGGCACTAGATTTCAAGAAGTGCTCAAAAGTGCGGACCAGCCTTTATATTCTGACTGTTATGATCATTCACAATTATCAGCAGTTTCTGAATTTCTTAACATAAAGTCAGAATATAACCTCTCTGAAAGCTGCATGTCCAAAATATTAGACTCAGTTGGTAGTATGCTACCTCGTGATCATTGTCTTCCCGATAGTTACTACAACATGAAAAAGTTTGTTTCTGAGTTAGGTCTCCCTATGATCAAAATCCATGCATGCCCTGGAGGATGTATGTTGTTTTGGAAGAATGACGAAACACTTATCCGGTGTAAGTTTTGTAATGCGGATAGGTACAAGCCCATATCAGGTATGACTCGAAAAGCCCGAAAAAGATCTGCAGCATCGAAGTTGATATATCTTCCTTTAGCACCACGTTTGCAGAGATTATATGCCTCAAGCGCTACCGCGAAACACATGACGTGGCATGTAGAGCATGACACTGAAGAAGGGTTAATGTGTCATCCATCAGATTCTGCAGCGTGGAAGCATTTTGACAGGTGTTATCCTCAATTTGCTTTTGAGCCGCGCAACGTTAGACTTGGGTTATGTTCTGATGGTTTTGCTCCGTACGGTCAATTTGGAGGCCAGTTCTCATGTTGGCCAATTATCATTACCCCATATAACTTGCCCCCGGACATGTGTATGAAAAATCATTTTATGTTTTTATCATTAATGTGTCCAGGTCCTGGTAATCCAAAAAAAAGAATTGATGTGTATTTGCAGCCATTGATCGAAGAGCTGAAACATTTGTGGGAAGTTGGTGTTCCTACATATGATGTTTCGAGGGATCAAATATTTAATATGAAAGCTGCGATTATGTGGACCATTAGTGATTTTCCAGCATACGGAATGCTCTCTGGATGGAGTACTGCAGGCCTTATGGGTTGCCCTGTTTGTATGGAAAAATCAAATGCATTTTGGCTAAAGAATAGTCGAAAAGCATCCTACTTTGACTGTCACAGGAAATTTCTCCCACCTAATCATCCGTATCGAAAGGATAAGAAGTCATTCATCAAGGGTCGCAAGGACCGCGATCCCCCACCTCCGATTTTAACAGGATATCAGATTTATGATCGTGTTCGAAACATCCCTTCTGCCATTGACGAGCCTCTTGAGTATCCAGATGGATATCGCATTTATCATAAGTGGACAAAGAAAAGCATTTTCTGGGATTTGCCATATTGGAAGGATCTTCTGATTAGGCATAATTTGGATGTAATGCATATTGAGAAAAATGTTTTCGATAACATTTTTAACACGGTTATGAACTTCAAGGGAAAGACTAAGGATGGCCTTTCATCAAGGAAAGATGTAGCTCTGTTTTGTGATAGACCGGAAATTGCTATGGGCCCTGAGTATGTCGGTCCATTCAAGAAAGCAGTTTATCAGCTCACGGACGAGCAGAAGAAATGCATATTGGAGTGGCTCATCAAGCTACGATTCCCTGATGGATACACCTCTAACTTTAATAGATGTGTTGACTTGGAAAATTTGGTAATGAAGAGCATGAAGAGTCATGACTGCCATGTCATGATGCAACGCCTCCTTCCCATTGCATTGAAGGAAAATCTCCCGAATAATGTGTGGGCATGTATTTGTGATGTTTCTCAATTATTTCAGTTGTTATGCTCACCGGTGCTAGACATACAAGCAATTCAGGATCTTCACCGTAACGTTCCCACTATTTTGTGCAATTTGGAAAAGATCTTTCCTCCATCCTTTTTCGATGGAATGGAGCATCTACTTGTCCATCTTCCATTTGAAGCAATGACCGCAGGGCCAAGTTGGTATAGATGGATGTATGGATTTGAG